TTATTTTATTCTCATTCTACGTGACTTTACCGAAAGAACCAAAGAAGATGAATCCTTGCAGTCACGAAAGCTTTAAATCGAAATTTTACATGCTTCTCTTTAAAATACATATGCTCTCTTTCTCTCCCCCGAGCCGTTCTTATGCTGGGGTCTTATGCGCTACAGAAGCTCATTAACGTCGCACTATAATCCAACATGCTAATCTGGGCTCATTTCCTTTAACATGCCACGCTATTTATTACCTTTACACTATAATACCCCATTAACACTACTTCGGCTGCCTTTGTTCTCAAAACTTATGTAAACTCTTGCTGGTGATAGCTTCTCTTCACAAGGCAGCGGACATCGTGATGCTCGCAGCAGACATCGCAGCTGTCGCGATTTTCACCTGAAGACGAGCGCTTGTGTTGCGTTCGAAACGTCGTGATTGATTTTATTTCTACCTACGTGACTTTACCGAAAGAACTAAAGAGTATGGATTCCTGCAGTCACGAAAGCTTCAATTCAAGAATGCCAATGCAGCAAAGGGCCGCCAAGAAATCACCGCACCCCGCTCCACACACCACACTGCTGGCGGTGGAGGTTGATTGACAAGAAAACACAAGTCAAGTCATGACCCAGAGTGGTTGATGACATCTTTCCAATGATTGCTGAATCTATAACCGTAATCTCGGTTGAAATTGTGTCTGTATATATGGTTGGCTTCGTGAATGAATCTTTGTTGATAGCCAGTAGGCTTGCAAAGTACCATCGTCTTAGAGAAATCAATTTCGTGTGAGCCAGCCGCATTAAAATAATGATCAGCCACGGCAGAAGTATATTGGTCCTACTGTTTCAGATCTGCCTTATGTTCACGAACACGGTCCGGGACATGTCCCTTAGTTTCCCCAATGTAACTGCTGCCACAGATACAGCTTAGTTTGTAGACGCCGGGATATTGCATGTCAGGAATCCTGTCCTTCACAGATGGGATCAGATCACGAATTTTATGGACTGTGTTCAGTTGGACCTGGATCTTGTTTGTTCATGGTTTTGGAAATATTTTTGGTAACCCCTGCTATGTATGGCAGGGTGATGGTTTTGATTGGATCCTCAGATGGCTCCTTCCTCACGGTTGGGGTGATGGCTTTGTGGATTGTGTAGTCAGAATATCCATTCGATTTGAGAGCTCGTTGTACGTGTTTGAGTTCACTGGTTATTTTGTTCATGGTCGGAGATACATTGCGCTCTATGGTGTAGGGTATTGATGAGGCAATTCTCCTGGGATGGTGGTAGGAATAGGTTTTAGGTAGGCATCAGTATGGGTTATTTTCCTGTAGAGAGAATGGCTCATAGCTCAGAGAGTTAAGAATATTTATACACTCACCCACTCAACTCACCCACACACTCATTCACTCAGCCACCCACTCACTCAGCCACCCCTCACACTCACCCGCACACTCACACACTCATTCACTCAGCCACCCACTCACTCAGCCACCTCTCACACTCACCCAGCCGTACACTCACTGAGCCGCACACCTCCGATTAGCACTTTTGGCTATGTACGGTGCCAAAGAAGTTCAACATACATAATCTACTATACACTACTATGCACTATACACTACAATGCACTATACACTACTATGCACCACACCGTAGCTACTGACGCTCACTCACCGTGTGCGAACGTCTCCTGTCCACTCCTCCTCCCGCTCCCTGTGGAGTGGAGTTCCGAGGCTCGTGATGAGTCACTCCCCTGCTGAGGAAGGGGGGGAACGAACGCAGTGATGGAATCTTCAGGATCAGCGTGTAGACTGCGAGGTGGATGAATCCAAAGAGCTATAAAGCTCTTTGTTCAAAGATGGGCCGGTAGGGCTCACGGGGTGAGAACGTTATGTACGTGGCTAGTCAGATATGTGTGGGTCAGTGGGTGGGTAGATGAATAAGTGGGTGGGTGAGTGCGTGGGTGGGTGGGTGAGTGAATGAGTGGGTGGGTGAATGAGTGGGTGGGTGAATGAGTGAGTGAATGGGTGAGTGGGTGTACGTTGAACCGTGCGTAGCCAACTGTGCTAAATCAGAGGTATGAGGGGGAAGGACAACAAACTACAACCACAACAACAAGCGTCAGTTCTAAAAAAAACGAGTTTCAATCGGTATTGAAAAGTGCACAGTACACTTCATGCATTGGCGGCCGGGCGGGCGTGGTGCTGGCCACTTACCCCCTTTGTGTGTGCCACAAGTGGCGGCCTTAATAGGCACGGCTATTCACTAACAGCACTTTCCCCTGCAGTCTGTTGGAGTCTTTACATGGGAGATCTTTGTATTTTTTCTATGGGTGCATCTGTATGTGTGTGTGTATCTCTGTATCTCTAGATCTGTGTGTATCTGTATGTATGTCTGAGACCAGGAAAGGCAGCGGGCAGGATGATCTCCCAAGCAAAATGCTGAAGGAGGGCGGCGTTTGTGCACAGACTGCCCTATATGACATCATAACAACAGTCTGGACCACTGGACGGTTCCTCAGGATTGGAAGGATGCCCTGGTGGTCCCCCTTTTTAAGAAGGGGGACCGCACAGACTGTACCAACTACAGGGGTATCTCACTCCTCAGTGTGCCGGGAAAGGTCCTGGCAAGGATTATTCAACATCGCCTTGCCAGGCACGCTGAGGAGAGGCTTGCGGAGCCACAATGCGGTTTCAGGAAAGGGCGGTCCTGCACAGATGCCATATTTTCTGTCCGTCTGCTACAGCAGAGGTGTAAGGAATTCCAACAAGACCTACATCTCTGCTTTATTGACCTGGTCAAGGCCTATGATACCATCAGTAGGCCTGGGCTCTGGGTTGTTCTTCGTGCTTTTGGAGTACCTGACCCTCTGCTCACGATCATTAAGGACCTTCATGATGGTGAGTGGGCCCGGGTAAAACTACGTGGCCGGGAGTCAGAGCCATTCCCTGTACACCTTGGGGTGCGACAGGGATGTCCTCTGGCTCCCACATTATTTAACATCTATTTTGACCACGTAGTTCGTGAAGCCTTCAATAGCTGTACCGGGGGAATCTCCATATGGTACAGATATAATGGGAGGCTGATCGATGCCTGGGTGCGATCAAGGGATGGCTCCCTATTGCTCAACCACGTTATGTATGCTGATGATTTGGTAATAGCTGCACATTCGGAGGAGTTGGAGACGCTGCTGCTGAGACTGGAGCGTGCCACCAAGAGGTGGGGCCTTACCATCAGCCCCACCAAAACTAAGCACCTGCCTGGGTATTTTGTACCATCGGACACTCCATCCCCACAACTCCCAATTGGTGATGGGGCAGTTGTGGAGAGAGTGGAGAGTTTCCCATACCTGGGCAGTGCGCTTATGACTGGCTCCAGTTTAACAGCAGAGGTTTCACTCCGAATCAGTCGAGCGGCAATACCTTTTCATCGGTTGCGTAACGCTGTGTGGAAGCTACCTGGTCTGTCGCTCCGCACTAAGCTTCAGGTCTTCTCGGCCACGGTCATTCCCTCCCTTCTCTACGCTTGCGAAACGTGGACCCCCTTAATGGGACATCTTCGCCGGTTAGAAACATTTAGGCTGGCCTGCCTACGATCCATCCTGGGTTTAACCAGACTGGATTGTGTGAGGAGCTCACAAATCCTTGAAAGATCTGGGCAAGGTCCCATCGGTGAGCTCCTCCGGCGGGGAAGGCTGCGATGGCTGGGTCATGTAGCCCGCATGCCCAGCCACCGCATGTTGAAACAGCTTTTGTTCGGCCAGATCGAGGGGGCTAAGCGGGCGTGGCACGGGCTAGAGAAGAGATGGAGTGATGTGGTACAGGAGGACGTGGAGCTGAGTGGACTTGCCGATGACTGGTACCAGCGGTGTCAAGATCGGCCTCTGTGGAGGAGGCTCGTGAAGGACGCTACTGGGCAGTTGGAGGTAGTCGCCCTCCAACAACAATGGAGGTCGGAGGAACGACGCTCAGAACAACGAGCGGAGCGCCGGGTGGCTAAAGCACAGCAGGTTGGCACAGTAGGGGGCACAGGTGGTGCATCAGCCAGTCATGTCAGTCAGTCGACCCGTGGCACCTGGGTCTGCCCCGTGACCTCCTGCCAGCGGGCGTTCGACACTTCACGTGGCCTCAGGGTGCACATAGCCTGGCACAAGCGTCGTGGTGACGTCACCATCACTTAGTGGCGAATGGCGGTTGTTGTTGTATTTATGTATATATCTCTGTATGTGTACATGTATTTGGGTATGTATCTCCGTGTGTATCTCTCTGTATCTGTGCATCTCTGTATGTACCTCGCTGTATCCGTGTGTATCTCCGTGTGTATCTGTGTATTTGTATGTATCTCTGTGTATGTCTTTGTATGGGCGGTGGCCATTCCACCCCTGATGCTGCTGTAACTCGCTACTCAGTAACAGCTTGTTAAGAGGCTTGCATGAGGTAGGGGATGTTTGTCCCTTGTAAACACAGCGTGAAGGGGAATCCTGGTGGGGGAAGTCACGAGTTTGGTTTCACTACCATCGGCCTACGACACAGTCTGCTATATGTGCGGCAAAGGCAGCTTACCCCGGTGCCTCATAAATAGATTGCCACAAGGTTCAGTACCTCGCTCCAACGCTCTGTGGTCATCCAGAACAGACACCATATACCACGACGCAATGCCCCAATCCAAAAATACGGAGACATCCCGGCAATGATACCACTTACTCCGCTGCTCCCGACGCGGTTGTCTGGCTTGACCACCTGAATGTGAATTTGTAGTTGTTGCTCTGCATCTACAACAGACCTACAACAGAAAAAAATCTTACTCGTGTGCAGAGACAATGCCAGAAAGAGGGAGACCACTCACCGTGTGGGTGGAGCTAGTTGAGTGGGTGAAACCAACGTCGGTGCCGACACCGTGGACTACCAGTGACTGCTTATTTGTGTTGTGGAGGAAAATTTACTGCGGTGTTGTTCTTTGACTGACAAAGATGAATTTCACCTACATTTCATGAATCTTGTTGTGTGTGTACACAGTTGTGTTCAGGCACGAAGGCTGATTGTCCCCAAGGACAATACAGAGCGAGTTCCGGTTTGTGCTGTCTACTCTGTGATGCCGGTGAGTTTCTTATTCTATTGGGGCCTCGTGGTGGCTAGGAGATGTTAGCTATCTCGCCTGGTATACAGAAGGGTGTGGGTTTGATCGCGACCCTGACGCCTGCTGTATATTACGAGTTGCCATGTCTCTCTCCCCGTGGTCGCATGGATTTTTCTCCGGGTCCTTCGGTTTTTCCCCTCCACATTTTGAATCGACGTCACGCGTTTCTAGTATTTGGCTGCTTTATACATTTCTACATAAGCCACTTCGTTAGGCCATCATGTGGCCAGGTTATCAATTATCTGGCAGCTTCGGGGGGGGCACCGGATTTTCAAAAACGCCAGATGACACCATTCTTTAGAATAGACTAGTTTTGCACATTTTTGCATAACATTGCTTTCAGGTGTTTTGTATGTTTTCTTCGTGTATTAAACTTTTTTACTATATGAAATTGCATAAACATTCTACTGTAAAAAGTTACTGTATTTACTGTACCATACTTACAACGAGGACTGCAAGAGGTGATGTATGTAGTACTACGCTCTTGGTTCAACAACTTGCGTTTGACGGTCGACGGACTGATGCGAATGCCGAATTACACAGTTTGCCAGATCACACTGTATATTGTTTTTTTTTACTGGCGTTATTAGTCATGAAAAATCTATATACATGCAGCTTTTGGACCGTTTTTGCCAGATCGAACCAGGACCACTGGATGTTGGAAGCTGGATATTTGTGTGCTGGATAATCGATGATCAACTGTGTATAGCTGAGTGGTGCTTACATTGTACAATTTTAAAGAGTTTAGGAGTTTAGTTTATCCAACTTTCAGGAATCTCAATGCGCTCATCCCCTTCTACCTTTACCCTTGAATCTCACTTTACGCTACCCCCCCTCAATCTCCTAGGAACCTTCAAGTTTGAAGATTGCTCAACAGATGGTGGGTACGCCCTCTGCCTGTCCTGCAGCGATGGCAAGTACACGGATGGGGACAACCAAGAACCCCGGTGCTTAACCTGCACAGCCTGCGGCCAACGTGAGTTCCAGTACCGAGAGGTGAAAGTTATTTTGCCCCACTCAATCATGAAATTCTGACTGCAGAGTATCTGATGTAACTCAACCACCTCCTTCACACTTGTGTCCCCGAACTAATGCCCGTTTTTGTTCCTGGCAGATGAGGTCATCGAGCAAGATTGCAAAGCGACCCAAAATAGGAAGTGCATCCGCAATGCTGGATTTTACCGACCGGAAAATGGCAACACCTGCCAGGAGAAATCAGGTGAGAACCCAGAATCATTTACCAATTAAAATTGTGATTGTGTTTTTCATGCTGAGTTATTCACAGTACTGTACATGGATGAGTACAGTGTTGTACACTACCTTAAGTTATCATTTTTGAAATTTTCCCTAAAAGTTAGAATTTAACATCAGAAAATGTGAATCATATTTTACATTTAAAAATATACTTCCCGTGTCATGTTTGGGTTGACGTGTTACGAACTGGGAATTAATCCCTCGTTTTTCCCTACAATGCCTCTTGAGTTTGGCTTCATGCTGCCGATGCTCACACTAAGAATTATTGCATTTTGTCTTTTTCATAGACGTTGTTTTTGTCATTGTTGCTGTTACGGCTGGAGTTCTAGCTTCTATAATTTTAGTTGGAGTTGCATCTCTCGCTTATCGGTGGAAACGCCGACAAAGTGAAGGTAAGAGGCTCAACTTGTAAAGCTGTTTCACTGTGCACAGTTGTCATAGCTGGATTTGGGGAGTAATAATATTTTACATTTAAATGTTAAACATTATAGGCACAAGTGTAGAGTTGACAAAATGGCTGATAAATTTCAGTTATGGCCATCCTAGTATGCTTGTACAGGCAGTCCCCAGATTACGGAAGGGTTAGGTGACCCGGATTTTTCGCATGCCGGAAACTGAACAATTTCTCCCCAAAATCAAGATAAAATCCCACAGCCGGTGATAGTTGTACCTCCCCTACTACCCGATTACTAATTCGTTTTCTCTCAGTACTGTATTGCACTGTCATCCGTTTTCTATTGCTACCTGTATCGGATCGCTGTACGTACGCTCTGCACTTCCTTTGATTCTTTAATTTCATTGAATATCTACCCTATCACTACCCATTATTAAACTAATGGAACTTATACTATATCCAATTGTTTATGAATACCACGAAACATTTCAATTAGTAGGAAAGAGCAGTTGTACGGCTGCCTCCGTGTAGCATCATCACACAAGGCATTGGAATGCTGCTGGATGCTTGTAGATGCCACCCTACATGTGCCTCAGTCTTTGTTCAACTTGTGTTACGCATCTCGTGTGTTATCGCGGACTGTGCTTTACCCCCATATTATTTATTATAACGCGATTTTTCCATAACGCGGTGATCTTCAGGAACGCGGCAACTACAACCACGTTCTAGGAGAACCGACTTTACGTACAGATCTATTTTGCAAAAAGGAGTAGTTTTGTTACAATAGGCCCCAACCTGGCTTAAATAAAATGCGCGTGTATGTGAAGATGACCGTGACGAACGTCATCACTCTCCCTTCATTCTACTCCTCTCTCCAGCTGAAGCCAGTGGAGAACAAGGGCCAGAAGAAGCAGTGTCTGAGTCAGAAGTGTCCATGACAACGGAGCAGTGTAACAACCACAACGAGATAACTTATAAACAATTAGAGCAGGGAGAAGACCAATAACAACACAAACAAAAAGAGCAAACTGTCATTGTCCACAAAAAAAAAAACACCTGGTTGCTTTGCAACATTTCTGTTTGCTGAAAACAAGAAACAATGGGAAATATCTGCCCACGTGACAACTTAGAATTTATTTGCCATGATCCATGTGTAGTGACTTGTAGCGTCACTACTGTGTACACACGCACACGTGTGACGTCACTATGCGGGGGAGCATCACTACACACACACATGAGGTCATCCCGGCTGGAGGCGGGAATGACGTCAGGGCCGGTTCTGGACTCGGGAGGCCACGGGGGTGGTGTGAGGCCGTGGCACTCTCTGTGACCCCGGCTGGACACGTGACCGGATCGCAGTGGGGACCGGGGGGCACCTTGGGGGGGCACGTGGATAGCTGGGGGGCGTCGAGAGGGTTTTCGAAGGGAGGCGTGACCGGGGTGGGGCCCGGGCACGCCAGGGCCCATATAAGCAGCCTCCTCACGAGGTTCGAGGCTGCTCGTATGAAGAATGAAGATGCATCGTGAAGATGCCAAGAAGAGTCAAGCCTCCAGTCAGCGGACCCGCCAGTAGCCCACCCGGCTGGGTCATGCTAGAGTATCTGAGAGTCAGTGCTAGAGAAGTGTGTGTGTTAGCTAGAGTAGGACGGTGGTCACTACCCTATGCGTAATGTAAGAGTTAACTGTTTTGGTCAGTAATAAATAGTGTTGCCTCCCAAGAAGTTGTGCGCCTAAATTCGAACCCATTACACATGTACGTGTGTATGTTGAACTTCTTACGAACACGAAAAGCAGTTATCAAGGTCTACCGGAAACAAACATTCAATATGACAACTCCAAACCTCCGAAGTTGTATAAATCGGTGCCGTGCGGCTTGTGTGCAGTCTGCAGTTGCCGTGTTGCCTCACTGCCACATGAGGAGATGTTAACTGCCTTGCCTGGAATACAGGAGGCCCGCGTTCGATCGCGATCCTGACGATGAAATCTGTTGCTGTATATTTAGTGAGAGGTTAATAAAAAAAAATCTTCGACGTGACTTTACCGAAAGAGCTAAGAATATTAAAAAAATCTTATTCATGAGATTAAAGTTTATTAACTGTATTATTCGCGCTATTACCAATTGCCCACATCGAAGCGCTCATATACAAATTGCTTGTACGGGAGAAATTACGCCTAGTTGGAACGCTACCCCCCACGTGCACAATGGATGCCACGGTGGCTAGGGAGATGTTAATTCCATCACCTGGTATCCAGGAGGTCGTGGGTTCGATCCCGTGACCCTGAAACCTGCTGTATATTTGGAGTTTGCGTGTCTCTCTCCCCATGGTAGTCGCGTGGATTTTTCTCCGGATCCTCTGGGTTTTCCCTTCACATTTATAAACATGCGTTTCTAAGACTATTTGGCGACTGTAAATTTCCACGTGATGATAAGCCACTTCGTTGAGCTGCTAGCGTTCGTCATGGCAGATCGCTTCTGAAAAAGCTCGGCGGTGCCTTACTTGGTAAAATAAATAGTTTATAGTTTAGTTTATAGCAACCTCCCCCCCCCCCCCCAATTAGCGCCGATTTTAATTAGCGCTCCCATCTCATGGGAACGACGAATGAATGCGTCGAGTAGCAGCGCTTAGCGAGGTCTACTGAAGCCGCACACTAAATAAATAATGTCGTTGGGAACGTGCTTATTACCACACTCACAACGGTATAGTGACACCCTGTTAGTGCCGATCTCGGCTCGCGCTCACTTCTCCTGTAACGAACAAACATCTTTGCGAGTAGCGGTGCTAAGCGAGGTCTGCCTGTAATTCGACATTTTTTTTAATCCCAAAAAAACCCTCATCCATAATATTTACATCTTAATTTATGTCAAAATCTGTGTGCGCTGGTTCATTCACAAATCGGACAAACCGCACACGCGCGGATAATCGAGAGCCTAACTGTGTTTTGTTTGAGAGCGATAACCTGATCGTGATGGATAAAACACGAACGCTTCACGTGATGTGTTAATGTTGCATGCTTTAAATGTCGCGAGATGCTCTCTAGAAGATGGTGATTGTTTGCGTGCAACATTTTAATCTTTTTTTTATCGCATCCTGTGTCATATTAAGCAAGGCAAATGTTTTCCTGATAAGCTTTAACGAAGAGTATCACGTATTTTACATATGGGACGTTTGTTTTACCAGTATCAAAGTATGAAAAATAAGAACAGGTGTGGTTTTTACCTTTGTCGGGCAATAATAAAATACCAAAGACACACCTATTGCAAGGCATCAAAGTCTGTGTGAACCACACATCATGATTGTGGCAGAACATGCACACAAGGATGCTCTTATACAAATAATAATAACTAGCCTTTTGCCCGTCCGAGGACGGGTGTATTTCAGTAAATCTGATACTTGCAAGCAACACCACGATGTGATATTAATTGCATCAATTCGTGTGCAATTTGTAAGGCTGTGGTGACACAGACTTATTTAATTTAAAGGTTATAATCCCTTGTTCATCATGACATCCTTTTTACTTCTATGTCTCAACAGCGTTACGGAGATCGCATGACGCGAGGGTTCTGCCTTTGTAGTGAGGGTTGTAAGTTCAAGCGGAGGAGAGGGGAGGAGGCGCCTTGCCCCACCCCCCCATGTGGAGTGACGTCATCCGCTCATGATTATTAATGAGGGGGGGGGGTCCATGTGGAGGACATCGCCTGTTCATGATTATTAATGAGGGGGGCTGGCCGACGTGGAGTGAAGTCATGCGTGGGACACACAGACATTCTTGGCTCATTATAGTAGTAAATAATGCATGCATTGTCTTTGAAACGAATTGGCCTAAACCAGACGGCGTTGTCTCTGCACCACCTGTGTTAGTAGACGAGAGGACATCGCCAAAAAGGCGAACAGCACAAAGGCAGAGCATGGACAGCTCGCGTTGAGAAAGTTACATCTATAACTGTTTTATTGCCGGAAGGGAATAAAAACCTATTCTTATTCATCACATATGTATTCCAAAATCCTCGCGAATGTTACATCAGCCTGTAGCCTGCAGGTGCCAGAGGTAACAACTTCAGTTTCTTGCATTGAGCTGTGATAAATGGGTGCCGCGGTGGTTACGAGATATTATCTCCCTCGCCGTCCGGTTCACGATGACGTTGCATAGGTCCAAGATGTCGCACTGCCACCAGCCATCAAACCGGACACCTCGTTCATATTCCGTTTCGTGGAGAAAGTGTCCCCCAACATCTTCCGTGGAGTGTCCGGATATCGATTCGAGGAGGGCTAGATCTGGCAATGCCAATTGTGCACAACTACTCGCTCAGATGAGGGGACAGTCGATGCGCAGGCGATGTAAATCAAGCATACCTCTCAACCCATGCGGTTTACCCGTATTCTTGTACAGGGAAATTGAGTTTTCGGGTCCATACAAAAAAATGTCTATTACAAGCTTTCTATTAACTCTGTTGTTGTCGTATCCTCAAATCTTGTAACTCTATTTTAACCAACTTCCCAATGTGGTATCGACTGCAAACTTGGTATACTTATGACTTACTGATGACTACTATTAGCTATCTTAAAAAATAAAAAAAACATTTAAAAAATGTATTTATATGTTATGTTTCGCCTTGGGTCTAATTGTCCACGGTCAACTGACGTCTGTAAATCACCACGGTCCCTTACGTTATGGCAAGCTTTGGGGCCACTTCATGGAGTCGTGGAGTTCTTCCATTACTAATAGGGTACATTTCATTAAAGCGTGTTTAAATTTTTTTTTTAATATTACTTATTTAATTGTGTTTCTCCGTTGTGATGGGACTTTGTAGGATGAACGTTGAGATGTATAAGGGGCACGGGGTGACCAATAAGGTTTAAATTGGTCTATAATAACTGATAAGTGCTTCAATCTTGATCTGAACGTTTCGTGACTGCAGGAATCCATACTCTTCAGGTTCTTTCGGTAAAGTCCACGTAGGTATAAAATAAAACAAATCACGACGCTTGCGTTGCGCCCGAAACGTCATTTATTTTATTTTATACCTACGTGACTTTACCGAAAGAACCGAAGAGTATAAGTTTTTTTTTTTAAGTTAGATGATTAAGAGTATTTAGCCACTGCTAGATATTTCTATTTGAAGAATCCACTCGGCTCCGACCATTCATGATGGCCACCTCCCTTCTGAAAAATTAGCTGCGTGTCTCAGTGGGGCCTTGCCTGGTAATAAATATTATATAACTCTTAAGATTTTTTTTGTGTTGGGTGAGATCACGTAAATGTGTCCAATTGTAGTGGGTTTGCTCTCCAACACAACCGGTTAGTGCTGAACTAGTATACTACATTTCGATTTAAAGCTTTCGTTACTGCAATGATTCATCTTCTTTGGTTCTTTCGGTAAAGTCACGTAGAATGAGAATAAAATAATAAATTGATAAAATAAAATAACACAATAATATTATCACGACGTTTCGGCCACAACACAAGCGGCCTTCATCAGGTGAAGGGACGAGACTGTCTGGTAGGACAGCGCTGGAGTGAAAGAGCCACGTTCAGATCACGGCTTTTAAGCTGTGTGAGAGGAACAAAGCGCCTTGACAAAGGAATTAGCATATAATTTAGCATTGAAATGGCTGAATGATTAGCTTGTGACTGGTCACAGAAATAGTTATGTTAAAAGTTAAAGCATACACATCCGCAGAGGCACCCCTTGACAATGGAATTAGCATAGAATTTAGCATTGAAATAGCTAAGTTAAAGCATACACATCCGCAGAGGCACCCCTTGACAATGGAATTAGCATAGAATTTAGCATTGAAATAGCTGAGTGATTAGCTTGTAACTGCTCATAGAAATAGCTACGTTAAAGTCAGACCATACACATTCACCGAGGCACTTAGTACAAATCAAACAGGAGAATTTAGCATTGAAATAACTAGGCGAATTTAGCATTGAAATAACTGAGTGATTAGCTAGTGACTGGTCACAGAAATGACTATGTTGAAGTCAAGGCCTACACATCTGAGCTATTCACAGTACTATATA